CGATACTAAAGGGACTCTTATTCCATTCTTCTAGACAATAAAGATAAATAATAGGGTTTCCGAATTATTTTTCTTGCTTCATGAGAAAAGAGATGAATCTACACTTCGCAGCTTTTATAAGTTTGGCAGAACCGAATATATTTTGTAAAGCAATTTGAAGCATTCTCAATACCTTATAGGAAAACGACATTACTCTTGTTCATAGGTTGGGGACATTGTTTTTTCGGTGGTGGTTGAATTATCTCTTCTTTTTTTATCATTGCTTTTAAAATCTGCTCTTGGTTGTCTTTGGTAACTGGAATCAAATGTATATATATATTGGCGGACTACCCATATGATATATAATTTTATTTTAGCATATAATGTCATGATGTAGTCCAATAATTATATGATATGTAAGAGCTTTGTTGAACAAGCCTATAGCAATAGCCATCATGCATCTCATTTCAGTATTAATCAAAGTTAAGAATGAACGTTGTTTGATATTATGGAAAACTTCCAGGCAATGCTTATCATCTCAATAGCCACAGTTTATTAAAAAAATATATATATATGGTAACTATACAAAAATAGAATATAAATAAACAAAGTGACTTCATCTAACATCGTTTCAATGGAAACCAATCATAATAAAGAAAGAGAAAATGATTATTTTAATGGACATAAAAGGCTGTTGTGACCAGAAAAGAAGGTAAGACATGTGTAATGCATAATGTCATGAAAATGTGTGAGATTTACTTTATACTTACCTGATATACTATTTCTTTTTTACTAACAAGTTCTAAAACTATGAAACTATAATTAATTTATAAACAAAAAATAGGTGCAAGTTGTATAAAAGCTTTACAAAAGTAGCAAACTAACAATACACCATACTACATGTACTACATACACATTTCCTTGATTTGGTAATCCTAACTTCATTTATTATATATTTATTAGTCAATACAAAAGAATTGTATGTATTATACAATTAAATGGCAATCGTACTGTATTTGCCATTAGTGATTCATTCACGGTTGCAGGGCATTACCAAACCGAAAATATTAATAACGTCATGTCATCAATATCGACAAAAAATGGTGTCCAATCTTATCAAGCCCTTCATGTTTGATATTATGATACCTATTGTAACAGTCTGGCCTTCAAATATGCTGGTCTTAAATGTTTGTTATTGTTTGCTGATTCATAAATGTCTCTTCTACTCTATCTTAAGTAGTTTAATTTCTAATGAAACATGGAAGACATGTCCTGATAGGCAAGGGAATTTCTCCATGCTACCTGAAAAAATACAATTGCTAAAATATTCAATAAAAATAGTGCATGTGCCTTAGAAGCATAGCCTGTCAAACATATACGTGTGTATTCACTCATGTTCATGTTTTCAACAGGATATCCAAAGAATAACTTTTCCCAATATAAATATTTTTTATGCTATATTGTTGTTTCATTGACGGGTTCTTCATATCGTCTGGTGGAATAATTAAACTTTGGGCTATATCACCAGGAGTTCTAAGTGGAGAAGTTGAAATCATCCCTTCGAAAATTTTACGGACGCCATCACGAATTGGTTGACCGTTATGGAATATTTGTTTCACAGATGACGACGGTTAGTTCCAGTTGTCTTTACGACAATTCCGTCCTCTACTCCACAAATGTGACCTACCAGATTTATACTTACATGATCAACACGACGGGTGCCACATGTGGAGCTGGATCTGCTTAGTCTTCCGGAGTTCCCCGGTTTTTTGTGGGGTTCGTGTTGCTCAGTCTTTAGTTTCCTATGTTGTGTTTTATATACTGTTGTTTGTCTTTTGGTATTTGCTATTTTTGCCATGGCGTTGTTAGTTTATTTACGACTTAATATATGAGATTGGATGTTCCTTTGGTATTTTTTGCCTCTCTCACGTACTATATGCTTGATGCACTTGCTTTTCAAAGTAAAAATTTGATAACGCATTTTCAAAATTCAACAAATCATACAACTGCATGCAATTTTTAAAACATATTTTTTTTCACAACACTTTGTAGGTAAGTCAGTCCTTGTAACCGGATGATATAAAACCAATAAAAAAATGAAATTATTTACACAATTTTAAGTGTACGATTTTAGATTTCAAACAGGGGTCTCGGTGGCTAAGTGGTCTAAGTATTTCAACTTCTGTATCACTAGCCTGTCAACACTGATGTTGTGATGTTGCCAGTTTCCTGCCGGAAGACGGTAGTCCAATCAATAACACTTGCCGCAATCAATAATTAGACAAGAGTGTTGAAAGTAGCATTAAATACTAATAATCAATCAATCAAGTTCAAAATCCCAAAGAACAATTTTTTTCTAAATGCACTGTTGTGGATTGAATGTTAACCTGAAAATTCTTTTAGGCTATTGCTCTCAATTGTTAAACACGTGTTAAAAATGATACACTTTCCAATTTAAAGGAAAGTTATACAGTAGTGCTTATTTAATTCATGTTGAAAAGATAGTCAGTCATTGTTTTAAATAAAGATATACCATTGACATTAATTATTCCTAAATAGTTATCCAAAAATATGTTATTAATTACATTGTAGTTCTTTTGAAATACCTTTTCAAATTATTTGTTATCCTTATAAAAATTCATATTCCATGAAAAGCCATTTACTTGTTAGTACTTCACAAAACACACATTTTTCCAATAAAAAGATGAACCATAAAGGTAAAGATAATACTAACTGGTTGTTGTTTTTTTTTTTTTTTTTCGCTTTCGGCAATTAAAAATTACCGCTATAACTAATTTGTAATGATTGTAAGAGCTGAGAGTGAAAGTAAGAATAGAAACATTCTTTCAATTTTCCATATTTCAATAGAAATCTTTTAAGTACACACAGTTCAACGATACTACAACTCTACCTTGCAAGCTTCTTGAATAGACATTTAAGAGAAACCAGGATGTCTTAAACGTTAAACCAACTCGGACATTATTCGTAAATATAAATCATTGTGCAGACATCTTATACGTTCAGGAATTTCGCATCCCATTTTTTATGGTAATATATATTCTATACAAAGCACAAAAATGTCGTCATTCACCTCAAAAGCTAACCAAACCTTTAAAAAGGCTTATTCAGAAGGAATATAGTTACGATACTGTTGTCATTTTTGGAATTTATATTAATTCACTCATAGGGTCTTTGCATCGGGAATTAACAAATTTATTCTAAATCCTGTTGTTGGCTTGATACGGGTAATGTTCTTCTCGTATATTTTATGATGATATGATACTAAACCCCTAACGGGAAGGATCGTGATTTATTTTCATATGATAAAGACATAATCGTTCGATCAGTTTAATTGATGTCTGGAGCTGGCATGTCAGTAACTGCTAGTAGTACTTTGGTAATTTATGTTGATCACTGTCATTTTGTTTAGTTTCTTCTGTTACCTATTCTAACATTGTACTGGGACTTCTTTTGAACTGGGTTTTACTGTGCGTATTGCTGTGTGTTTGTTTATTCCCCATTGTCTATATGTATGTATGTACATATTTAACCCCGGCGCATTTTTTGTGCCAGTCCCGAATCAGGAACCTCTGGCCTTTGTTAGTCTTGTATGTTTTTATTTTTAATTTGGTTCATTAATATGTTTCGGAGTTTAGTGTGACGTCCATTTTTGCTGACCTAGTATATATTATTGTTTAGGGGCCAGCTGAAGCCTGCCTCAGGTTGCGGGATTTTCTCGCTGTGTTGGAGAATACCCATTGTTGCCCGTGGGCTGTTGTTTGCTCTTTGATCGGGTTGTTATCTCTTTGAAACTGTTCAATACCTGAGACCAATATAAAACCTCGTTGACACAACATTGGAAAGCAAGGGCCACCACTTACGATATTTCTGCTTTTAGACAACCAAACAGAAATGTGGAAGGGTTGAACTACTTGCATGGGTACTCCACTTTTTTCCTTTTCTTCCTTTCAGTCAAGATGTGAATGAACTCATCCTGGGAAATAGGTACAAAGAATTATAAAGCATGTAAAGAAAAAGCATCTAATCATAGAATGTCGATATTATCAATGTCACAGCCACCATTAAAATAATTCAATAAATACCATATCAAATAATATTTGCATTTACTACAAATAAACTGCATGTACTTCATACCTGTACCGTGTGTATGATGATGACGTAAGCATTTCCTCAATCTTACTTCGACCGATTCAAAGAACATTGCACGAATAGTGACAAAAATCACGATCGTATGCAACACCGGGATAAAATTTTGGGAAGTTTGGGAAGTAAACAGGGTGATTGTAAATTTTCTTTTACTTGCTAACCACAATTATTTACATTTTTGATACGATTTTGTGCAGTAATGCTTTTAAGATGACTGACATTTTTTTAGTTTTTTGTAACAGTGAATTCATTAGTTATATGCTATGATCTGGATCATTTTAGATGCACCCTTTATATTACATTATGTGTTCCTCTTTTGATGATGATCGAATAATTGTTTATCAAGTTTATACCCGATTTAACATATTTACATATGTATAGTTTATCTTTTCGGAATTCTTAAATTCATTCCGGCCTTCTCTGGGTATTAGGATGTTATGATTATGAACTATTGTTTGGATAGTATTTTCGTCTTTTTTTTCAAATGTCACATTGTTGTCAGTCCTTATTCGAAGAAAATGAACCGTTACCGACTTCTTACTTCAAAGGAGTATATTGTTGTTATACACATTGTTGGTGTTAAGTTGAATTGTTCATAGCTATTTTTACATAGAATGGACTGAAAACTAAATATACGGTTTGTGGTTTTGTCTATAATTACTTGAATTTTGTTTTTAGCGCTCAATTATGTCATTGACGATTATGTCATGGTTGTAAAACAAGCAGAGTGTTGGTACTACATGAAGGATGTTAGTAGCTTTGTTCAGTGTGCATTGTATCATATTGTGGTCCCTAAACATGAACTTCTTCAATTGATCTGAAATGAAAATAACTAAAACACAACTAAAATAAAATTCACTTATATAACTTTTTTTGAAAATACATAAATTTTCCAGGTATTGTGTAGCTACATCATTTTTCTACTTTTCAACGTTAGTACAATTCAAAGTAATTGTTTTTCACAAATAAAGCGATTAGTATTTTTGCAATTATCACCAGACCATGTTCCATGAGAGAAAGATGATTTAATACAAAAATCATTATCTCCTTGGGGTTCCTTACGCCAGGGAAGGTACGTAGGATTACTGCCATCTATCCATGTGTATGTCTGATTCCTTAGTTTCTGTAATCCAATCCAAAAATCACCACCCGATGATTGTTTAGACGTGTGACTTACTATAAAATTGTATTCCTCTTTCGAACGAATGATAACTAAATCTGCATCATTGATCTTACAATAGCTACGGGCTTCAGTGAAATTAGCCTGTGATATATCAATTAAATAACAAGAATTCTTATAATATATCCAATCACCTGGCCCACACCTTGGATTTATTTGCATTTTGCATATAAATCTGAACGACATAAAACAATTGTTGTCATTCCACTTTCGATAGTATGTCTGCGCGCAGTTTTCGTTATTATTGACGTTATTCGGTTCTGATGGTCCCCAATCAGTATAATTCAAAATCGTTCCGTCACTCCAGACATACCTCCCATTGTGTTGAAAATTGCTGAGTCCTATCCACATAAAAGTCAATGTAAAATTGTTGTTTAGAAAACTGCTTTCCCTTTCATTATGAACACTTACAAGATCAGTTCCAATACTTCGACAATAGTCACGAGCCTGAAACCATGTTCGCCGTTCTGAAAACTCTTTGTAACACCAATTATTGAACTTCTGCCAGTCATTTGGACATTCTGCCCTAATTTCTGATAGCTGGAAAACTTTTTCATTTCCGTTATTGCTGCTTTCTTTTGAAGGAATATACACTTTCGTGTTGTATCGAGATTGTATTACAATGTACGTCAGCACAGCTGTCAATACACATGCTAATAAAATGACAGTGGTGAACGCTATCCATAACTTTATACGACACTTTGATTTGTTATCAGAAATAACAGATATATCCAATTTTACCTTCTCATCTTCATGTTTTTTGTATGCTTGAGGATCTGGTTGAGGTTCGAAATATGAGTGATGCGACAATGATGGTTTCAAGTCGTCATACTTTCGAGAATGATCTGATATGGAAGCAAGATGTGTATATCCATTCTCGTCCGTGGGTTCTTCGTATGTATGATATTTGGTATTCCTTTCACAATCCATTATACACGCTTTATTGTTTACAATGACCGCTTCTCATCATACAGTTTTACATTCGCTGATATAAATTAACATTATTTTGTACAAAGTCACGTTGAATCATGCGCTACGGATGATAAAATTGTATTTTTATGACTAATGTGGAAAACACAGATTTCATCAACAAAAGACAACCTTTCATTTCAGTTAAAATATTTATTTATACTTTACTCAAGTGTTTGACCTATCACTCATATAAATATTACATTTGTAATATTATTTTCACTTGAGTCATTTTTAATTGTTTCCTTTTCGTTCTTATTACAAACTGGCAATTATCCAGTGTAAACCCTTTACATGTAAGTAAATACTGTTTGATCTTTTCGGACTCATGATTTCAACCCCATCGTCAGTTGATTCTCTAATGCTCAATCTTCATTTTTTTGCGTGTAAAATTTAGAAATATTCGTTTTGGTATTTTTTCGTCTTTTTCAACTGTTGTTTATTCTACATCGACTTGATATTTCCAGTTTGATCGTTTCAATGAGTTCTTATCTAGCATGTATTAAAAGCTAAAGGTTCGCGTTCAAGTTTATTCGTTGTATTATTTTTATTGACTAATTGTCCCATCGATACTGAATGAAATATGTAAATATCTTCGTACAGTAATATTGTATCTTACTGAGGTCACTTAAAGACAAATTATGTAATTTATTTCAAGTAAAAACGTGTATGCATCAATAAAAAATTAAAAAATTAAAAATTATGATGTTTACAACTTTTACTAATATTTTATAACTAGAACAAAGTTCTAATGATATTTTTATAAAATTGAGAATGGAAATGGGGAATATGTCAAAGAGACAACAACCCGACCAAAGAGCAGACAACAGCCGAAGGCCACCAATGGGTCTTCAACGCAGCGAGAAAATCCCGCACCCGGAGGTGGTCCTCAGCTGGCCCCTAAATAAAATTGTGTACTAGTTCAGTGAAAATGGACGTCACATTAAACTCCAAAACATATAAATGAACTAAAATTAAAAAATACAAGACTAACAAAAACCAGAGGCTCCTGACTTGGGACAAGCGCAACAATGCGGCGGGGTGAAACATGTTTTGTGAGATCTCAACCCTCCCCCTATACCTCTAGCCAATGTAGAATAAAGAAACACATAGCAATACGCACAGTAAAACTCAGTTTAAAAGAAGTCCGAGTCCGATGTCAGAATAGGTAACAACAGATACTAAGCAAAATGATACATAAATTAACAAAGGACTACTTGCAGTTACTGACATGCCAGCTCCAGACTCAATTAAACTGATTGAAAGATTATGTATTCATCATATGAAAATCAAGTACAATCCCTCCCGTTAGGGGTTAAGTATCATACCATCATAAAATATATGAGAAGAACATAACCCGTATCATGCCAACAACTGGTTTTAGAATAAATGTGTTTATTTCCGATGCAAAGACCCTATGAGTGAATCAATATTTATACCAAAATATGCAATCCTTAATGACCTGACAACAGTATCGTAACTATATACCTTCCGAATAAGTCTGTTTAAAGGTTTGGTTAGCTTTTGAGGTGAATGCCGACATTTTTGTGCTTTGTTATATACCATAAAATATTGGATGTGAAATACCTGAATGTATAAGATGTCTGCATGTTGATTTATATTTACGAATGATGTCCTTGTACCGATGATAAAATTTAGTAAATGTTTTGACTAGTTTGTGATATCGAAAACCCTGGTGTAATAATTTTTCAGTAATACAGAGATTTCTTTCCTTGAAATCAAATATGTTGTGACATACACGAGCGAATCGAACAGGTTGAGATATATAAACACCATGAGATGGTGACAAGGGAATGCATTTCTAAGTTTCTCAGAAACAAACCGATATTGATTGAAACAACTGTCACTTTTCCAATTTCCACACATGGCAGATGATTTGGCACACAAATTATCATCTGCTTTGGGTTCATTTATACACCATGTGAGGTATGTGGGATTACTGTCATCTTCCCATCTGTATGTCTGATTCCTTAGTTGCTGTAATCCAACCCAAAAATCAGCACCTCTTTGTACCCAATGATAACTAAATCTGAAACATTACTTTACAAAGGTCCGGGCTTCTGTAAACGTAACAACAAGTAATATATCAATGCAATAACAAAACTTCTTATTATATACTCATACACCAGGCCTATATCTTGGATAATTTTGCATATAAATCTAAACGACATAAAACAATTGTTATCACTTTAATTGGTTACATAAATTGTGCGCAGTACTCGTTATTATTGAAGTTATTTGGTTCTGATGATTTTCCCGAATCAGTAGAATTCAAATTCGTACAGTCACTCCAGACATACTTTCCATTGTTTAAAAAATTGCCTATCCACTGAGAAGTCTGTTTAAAATTGATTATCAGAACATTGCTTTCCCTTTCATTATGAATATTACCTAGATCAGCTCCGGTACTTCGACAATAGTCACCACGAACCTTAAACCAAGTTCGCCGTTCTGAAAATTCTTTATATCACCACAGATTGAATGCCTTCCAGTCATTTGGATATTTTGTCCAAATTTCTGATATCCGAAACCTGAATTTCCACTGCATTTAAACTTAATTTACACTTCTGTATAGCAGCGAGATTTAATTACAATGTGCATCAGCCCAGATTGGTCAATATCCCTAATGCGCCTTAAAAGTAGTTAACAAAATCTGTGCAGTGATAATGGGCATGTTTCATTATTTAACAAGTGACTGAGCCTAACCATTTGTGCTGATTTGGAGAGCAGATGACCAAAGACAAAAGGTGTAAAAACTATGGACTACAAAATTTTTAAAGTACTTATTGTGTGAAAATGGAACTTTTTACCTCGAGAACCCGCATAACAAAAAGCTTTTTGGGGTGTACTAAATTACGAAAAAATGCAGGAATGGAGGAAAAGGCTACTATGACCGCCTAACTGAAATAAACTGTGCGTCTTTACCCAGCTTCTAATCCTATTATAATAACAGTAATGAACGCTGTCCAAAATTTTATTTTCACATCTTTGTTTACATAATATGGTTCAGGATCTGGTTGAGGTTCAAACACTAGTATCAAGATTTCAGTCTGAAACGGTCATTTTTTTCTGATCAAGTCTTAATCGACTGAATTTACCGCAAGAGAAAAACGTTTAGACTTTTTCAGACTTTCGGACGCTGTTCCGATCTATAATTTTCAGTCCGTTCAGTCATGTCAAGATAAATAATACAGATTGTTCTAGAGTTCGATTAAGACTTGATCAGATCATGTTCAGGCCAAAGGTAATAATACTGTTTTGATTTTGTAAAATCGTGTTCAGTCGTGTTAAGATTTTAAATATTCGGGTGTAAGACGGGCGACACTTTCTCTGTGTTTATCAAGGGTTGCTCCCCCTTTATGAAAAAATTTAACCCGAACAAGTGTGTAAGTCATGATAAAAACTTTGCAGTCGTGCATTCTAATAATCGTGTAGTTATTCACTTTGTCTGTAAAGATATAATGATTAGTAATAAATTATGTCTAAAACATTTCTTAAACAAATTTCGTCTATGCGTTTCGATATGAACTTTAAAAATCTGATTCAAAAGGGGCGTTATTTCTATTTAACCTTTGATACATATTAATCTTTAATATTTTTCATTATGGAAATCACTGTTTTAGGATTTGTTTGCACGTGTACGAATTCCAAAAGTATTATCAAACCACTTCGCCCTATCTATAAATAATGTAAAATAATTGTTCTCAGTCATGTAAAATTGGGCGCATTACATTTGCGCGCATTTGGGGATTAAATTTTTTTACGTTTGCGCGCAGTTTTTGATTACATTTGCGCGCATTCATTTTACAGGTACCACAGGTAAAAATAAAGATAATTCATAATAAATATGACTATAGTTATTATGCATTTTGAACATATTTGTAAATTTGAATTACATATTTTTCCTATTGATTTCTCCGTAATAGCTTAAGACATACATGTAACTCAATTGCGGATTACCAGAGTAAATAGTATTCTGTTTCCTAATTTTACCGATTATTGATCGATTTAGTAAATAATTTAAGTTGGTTGGTAAAGTTGTGTATAGGCCTAAACATGGATTTTCGTTTGTCAGAATTTTTTATCTATTTATATTTCCAGGACTTAGTGTTTGTGCATAATAAAATGGACTTATCCTGCTCGAAAATAATAGTTTAATAAATAAATAAGTATAATCTACCTGTATTTACCTGTGTTTACCTGTAAAAGAAGGCGCGTAAATGTAATAATTTTTTAGCTCAAACGTAATGATTTTTGAGCGCAAATGTAATATTATTGCGCGCAAATGTAATGCATCGGTAAAATTTGTAAAGGAAAATATATTCTGAGTATCCGATTTACTTTATTTTTTTTTTCTACTTTTGACAGAAGTTTGATGTAAGGTATTTACATTTAAATACAGGGATTATCTGAGCAGTCAACCGAAACGGATTGTCACACACTATCTAAATAACTATAAATAACCATGACTCACAGTGCAACGCTGTGATCGTTCTATCCATAATACTTTCATGTTTTGCCATAAGGATTAACCGGGTAAGAAACGATTGATAAAAAGAAAATGAACATAATCATAAATCTAGTGTACGGTTTATATTTCTGATTCGTAGCAGATTTGTTTTTCATTGCACCAGTGTTGCTTTTCGTTTTAAAATTTTAAAAACAGGGAGACTCTTACTTGATTTTTCGGAGTTGATCAAAGAGCTATGAAATAACGTAACGAACTGACGTGTACTAATAACCGGGAGCAGTTTATAACATTTTCATTTCGATAACAAAAATATGCAAATTAAGTAAGTTAAAGGTATTTGAATCATACTGTTACATTCAAAAGTCTTTATCTATAAGTAAATGATTGATAGAAATAAATTGATTGTATTGTATCGATCGTAAAATTAATGTCCAGTGTCAAGTATTACACATTGATGACCACTTAGATGTTCAACTGATTCAACAGAAAAATTAAGTTAGATTAAGTTCAAATGCAGTTCATTACGTTACAATTGTAACCATTATTAATATTTTTTAAACATTTATCTCGAGGAAAAGACATGAGTGGCATGGATATGCATTGATTTGGTCTAGCCTGATACGGCGAGC